GGGGGGGGGAACAGGTGTTTTGTGAAAAATGAGCCATTTTTGGGAGGTTTGCAGAGTGCAAAAACTTTTTTTAAAAATTTGCCTTTTCAAAACCTTGGTGTGTCTTATACACCGTTGCATCTTATACTCTGAAAAATAAGGTAGTTTTAACATTTGGCATGATCTTACATAGATTAGCGTGGCTATGAATTTCCTAAGGGATTCCCCCGGCCTGGATTTACTTACCTCAGATAAAATACACACCTGGCGAACAAGCCATAAGTGTAAAACTTAGTGACAAAAAAATTGATTCAAATTATTGGTTTTGGTGTTGTAAACCATGGCTATTTGGTTATATATACTTGTGAGCCAAGCCACTCTTATAGTCAGTGAACTAAGAACAGAACATACTGTAATAGTTATACTAACAGTAGCTGAATGTGGCCAATGTTTGCTTGTTTCTCTCTTACTAGCAAGCCCGCCGGCTCCGAACCTCATCCCAAGTCTCGAATCTCAGGCCTGCCTCCTGTTAATCCTGATCACCTTGGTGGGTACCGGCTTGCCACAGCTACTTTTGCTGGAATTGAAAACAAATTTGGGCTTTCTCTTCCAAAATTTCGAGCAGTGAGTGCCACTCCTGTGCAAACCAAAGCAGCGGCTTGAATCCCGAGCTGACTTTTCCAGCAGACAAAAGCGGTCACAAAGGACAGTTCCGAGAACAGATCCTTGGCTCTCCAGCCAGCTGCATGACACTTTACTGAACGGAGACTGAATCATTGCTTCTTTCTATACAAAGATACAATTGTTGTTCACACATGGGAGATTGATTCGGGCTTTACGATCAAGCTATTGATTGTTTCTCCTCTTCTGATGGCTTGAATTAGTACACAGGGCTTGGCTTTGCACAGCTTGCACTCCATGTTACTGTACATATTGTACATCTTTGTACAGAGACATCATTACAGCATTGAAATTGCAGTTGCATTTCTAGAAACAGATATTGCAGTTCTAAATAGTTTGAAATGTACAGACTGTTTTGAAAGTGTTTTACTAAAAATCATGTGACAATAAAATGTATTTAAAACCAGAGCCTTTTCTTTGACACCAAATCTTTAAGAGACTAAGTTTTAAAGAAGGTAAAATTAACCTACCAACGTTACTGCTCAATAATATTCTAATACTCTGATGTTTAGGGAGTTTTTTTAGGAGTATGTGTACAATTTTTAAAAAGCCCAAAGAAGCTGAAGAGTTAGTAATCTCTCTGGTCTCCCCATTATAGATTATTGGGGGGGGGGGGAATGAAGCATGTTTTTAAGACCTGGAAATGGGGTCTCATTGTCTGGCCAGTAATTAGGTGAATGCAAGGAGAGCTACTTGATGAAGTCATGGCAATATGCAAGGGCAACAGAATTTCAGGCAATGTACCCATGTGACTATTTCCTCCTTAATTGGGGGCTTATCTACAAAAGGAACTCTGTTATAAGGTCCATCCATAAGGTCCTGTAGGCAGACACAGGTTCCAAAAATTAGAATATAAAAGTGCTAGATACAAAATGCAAGACTGACTTAGAATGAGGTTCTCTGTCTTTGGGAGATCAATACTGAGGTAATGAACGATCAACGGTTCAATAGACCTGGTTAAAATCTACCACTCACTCAGATGCCTGATCCAGATCTCAGGCAGAATGCAGTAAACCCATTAAAATAGAGACACCATTCCCAGCAACCAATTAATAGATCCCTCCAAGGAAACTGCCAATCACCACCAACTACCCTCAAGTCCAGAACTGTAAGGCAACTCCCTCCCCTCACTTCTCAATTGTTACACTTAGGAAGCCTCATAGGAAAATGGGGCAAAAAGCCTGCAAAAAAACCCCCATCCTTCCCAAAGGCTGGAAAATCTGATTACTAATACAAAATCATTTTTAAAATATTTGTCTGTTATAGACAATATTTTGTATCTATGCGTATCATTTTAAAGGGTCCACCTGAACGAGACTATCCTGTGTCCTATCTTGGAAGTAAGCAACTTTATTCTTCAAATGGCTACCCTTTTTTTAATAACACTGATGGCTGCAGAGTGCCTCATGATGCCATGATGGGAGAAACGGGATTGAAATGTTCAGCCTTCTGTATATAGTGGCAGATAACGCAAGAGTTTAGGGACCAAAATCCACCCCCCAAAATGGTTTTGGCTTATCTGCAGATGGCCTTATCTGTCAGTATATTTTAGATTTTATATCTATGTATTTTAGATTGTTCTCACAACTTCTTTAAAATACCATATATCTCTCATATACTTGCAGATACTCTAATCTGGATGAGCAGATCCTGAAAATTTTAACCCAAATATCATGAAAAATGCACCAACTGCTGATAAGGCAATTGTGAAAACTAAATCATACAAAAATATTGAGGGTAGGCACATTTTTCATGACATTTTGGTTAAAAATTTCAGAGTCAGCAAATCTGCCAATGGACTTATCTGTGTGACTATATGCAGCTTTTCTCCAATATATACTGACTTATTTTACATATTCTTCCCCACTCCCAAACATATCCCTGAAATATGCCATTTTACTTCTCAATTAAGGCAACACAAATCAGGTATATGGAGGGGGGGGGAGGGAGGGAAGAGAAGGAACAGGAAAAGGTTTATATGTGACATTCAAGCCACAGGTTGCCCACTCATTCTAAGCAACTATATGTAAAAACCTGTAAGCAGTTATTTCAAAGCATTTAAATTACAAATGTAAAAAAGTCTTATTGCACAGGACAGTAACTGGCATTTACAAAAAAATGAAACTACCATCAATGGCGAAATCAACTTTATAGCAATGCAAAATCTTGAAGGTTAAGATGCCTTACTTTACGGCCAATTTGCTGGTTAATTTACAAAATGTTACAATTGTACTAAAATATTTGAAGCTTTATTTTTAATATTTCTACAAGTAATCTAAACTGGCTAGAAACTAGAGAAATTGTTCTATTCCTGGTTACATGAGATTGCGAGTTTACTATACAAAAATGAAGTGTTGCTTCTTAAATTTTAGAAAAGTGCCTACAAAATTAGAGATTATTCTATGGATTTCAAAAAGATTTTCTTTTTCTTTTTGGGTAGAATTGTGCAAGCTATATCCATTTCAATAATTTAAGATGAAGTCTTAAGCCTAAAAATCATTTGTACCCTTCATTTTTATTATAAGCATAAATAGAAAGTACATTTTAGATTCCTTTTCCCTCTACAAATTTCGTGTGAATTATTAGCCTGTAACACAATCCTATTAAAAAACCCAAGTCTTTTAAATGGATACATATGAGAAAAATGTCGTATTTTATTTATAAAGAATTCTTATTAACTACACAGATTTGACAAAAAATTCAAGGGATTTTAGAAATTTTCCACTAATTAAAAAAAAGTTTGATTATTTTTATTCCTTTTCATGATCTACCACCATGGGAGCCTACTGTATAACATATAGGATAAAGGTTGCTGTGAACAGATACATGTGTAACTAACTCTAAACAGTTCCATAACCCCCCCCCCATCCCAGTTAGGTTTACATAACTTACTTAAATCCCATTGAAAGTTGGGCAGCCTAAGTAACTTTAAATATACAATATAAGTAGTGTTTCAACTGATGATACAATTTGCCAAGTTAGGATAAATATTAATTTATGCAGATTAGATTAAGAATATGTGATTTAGCTTTTAAAAAGCAACTTCACAAGATCTGCTTCAGTAATCTTTCAAATCCATAGTTGACTGCCAGTTTTCACGTTCAAGTTGCTGCTGCAGGCTAGAACATGCTACTACATTGAAGCTCTTGTAGCTCATTCCAAAATTCACTGTAAAATTTTAAGAAGGAATTCGAGTTGCCGCTTCCTCTTCTGCGTCAGCTCTGTTTGCATTAATTTCAGCTAACGTCCGACCAAAACGGGTCCACTCATCACTTCGGGGAACAGCAATTTGCTATGGAGAAATAGTTATATGGGAGGTATTAGTAAACATACGAATATGCTGATTTTTTTTTAAAAAAATCATTGGTTTGTACCCAAAATTTAGAATTGAAACAAACATACATTTCTAGGTTCCCTGAATTTTTATGCATATGAAACATTTATTTCAACACAAAGAGTAGGCTCCATGACTATTACAATGAGGAAATCATAGTGAACAAAGATCTAGGACAGCGATGGCGAACCTTTTTTGGCTCACGTGCCATAAGTAGGGGGAGCACAGGGGGGTCGTGTGCGGGCATGCCGCACTCATAATGCAATGCGCTACCTCCCCAGTGCACATGTGCACACTACAGGCATGACCCCCCTTTTTCTGCAAGCTTTTTTTGCCCCCCCCCGGCTCCAGAGGCCCCCCCCCCCCCCCC